TTGAGATGCTTGTGGGTTCCTGCTCTGTAACCCAAAGCATACCAAGTCTTCTTTTCGGGTCTTCAATATGGCCTGCAAAGCGTAGCTTGGATCAGAATGGTTACCTAGAGGACAACGTCGGAAGGAGAGCGAAGAGAGTAGGGTATCGGCTGTCATCCTGCCCCTACATCTACCCAGCGTCATGTGAATACTGTAGCCCCCTAGCCACCGTATATCTTCTTGAAGGGGCTTTGAGAAAGGGGGGCCTTTGTAGATGGAACTTTGCCTTGGGAAGTAGCCCATGCTGCTGATGATGCCAGCACTGCAAGAGCAACAACCTCGTACTTGGGTAAGTCTGCCATGATCTTCACGGCAGGAGCAAAGGCAGCCAGGGAGAGAGAGGATTAGAATTGAAAGAGACTGATACGGACAGAAGGGATCAACATCAGTTCTGTATTAACGAGCCGGTGGGTGCCTTAGATGTTCATAATCTAGATCAAAACCGATCATCATAGAAAGAAAGGGGAAGCAGGGAGGGAGCCATTCGTTCTTTGGCCGACATGCTGCTGGGCAATTGCCTCTTTATCACATCACAGCACCAAAAATCACGGTTCCTAAAGCTCCAGTCAAGTGTTTGTGGTTCATTAACATCATCGTCTTCTCAGACCTTCATCATCCCATCATCCTGTCGTCGTCTCCAAGTTACTATGCCGTGAGGCGGTATCACGGCCCCTTTCTACCAAAGGTGAACACCCCGCCCGATTGTACCTTAGATAACCCATCCAATTCACAGTGAATCTTCATTCGTTCAGTCGTCGTCGCTATCCCCTTCCTGGTCTGCCAACGCCATTTGAACAAAGTTTCTGATCCAAGCCTGCTGCGCTGCATCGAGCTCGCCGTCACCCAAACCCTCGACCATATCGGGGTCAAAGTCTTCATGCCGACGGGGAGGCGCCCCCCGTCGAGCCTCCGGCTGCTGGTTCTGCCCAGGTCCGCCTCTGTGATTACCACGACCGCCCCGACCTCCACGGCCGTGGCGAGCTGCTGGAAATCCTCTTCTCGCAGGATTGGGAGGTGCCTGTGGAGCGGCTGGCGGGATGGGACCATGAAGTGCTGCTCCGATTCCTGCTCCTCCTCGACCTCCTCTGGGAGCTGGATTGGCCTCGATACGTAAAACAAGCGGCCCCTCTCGAGCAACACCACCCGCCACAGGACGTGCTGGCCGATCCGCATCGTTCGCCTCTGTATCCGAATCGCTGTCGTCCGGCTCTTCGATCTCGGGAACAAGGTCAATCACCGGAGCTGGAGGTGCGGGAGGCGGGATCTCCAAAAGCCGCTCGATCTGATGTCCACCAGCGAAGCCAATGTCGACATTGTCGCCGTCGCCGCCTTCAAGCTCCCACAAGCGCATGTAGCAAGAAGTGATCTTGCCGTTGGGCTGTTCATTGAAATGGGCATACGGATTTCTCGGGTCGAGCCAGGCCGAACATAGATAGCAAAAGTGGGAGGCGCAGCGGAAGCAGATCATATGATTGCAGCCGTGAGTCTTCTGCGCCGGGACGCCACACGTAGGGCAAGGCGTCGTATGCAGGTTGATGTAATCGATTGAGGCCTGTTCCTCTTCAGAGATTTCGCCCTTGTCACGCTTGGGCGTACATCTGATGAACTCGCCATGCCATGACTGGTAGCAGCGGCTGCAGAAAGCGAACCCACAGTCTTCGCAGATGGCTATCAGATCTTCAGCCTGGAAGTTCTTCTTCGCCTTTTTCTTCTTTTCGCCCGCGCCGTCTTCTCCGTCAGCGTCGGTCTCGTCATCGGTCTCTTCATCCGAACTCTCGTCGATCGTCTCAAGTCCCTCGGGCTTCCTGTGCTTTTTGGACCTGGCCGCACCCTGGCACCAAGATCGGGGGCAGTAGATCGTATTCTTGTCGGATTCGAGTTCGTTCTTGTACTTGAGCGTCACGTAGCGAGTCACCATGTCATGGGGTAGCCCCATCTGAAGCAGTTCACTAGGACTGATCGAGGTTTTGACCTTCCTCTTCTTTCCCTTGCCCGATCCTCGCGCCGCTTCGGCGCGCTCTTTGGAACAATTGGGGGCGAGGCAGCGGACAGTCGCTAAGTCTCCTTCCGTAATAGCATTACTGTAGAACTCCTGCAAGCACTGAGTACAGAAGATATGGCCGCAATCGAGCATCTTGTGACACATTGAGCCCTTCTTGGGATCTGCCGATAGTAAGCGTTAGCAGCCAAGAATACTGGGACGCGGAGGGGAACCTTACCCAGACAAACACCGCAATCGAAGGTCTCCTTCTCGAATGCCGCCCGAGTAGCCTCAATGTCGTAGTCCAGAATGGCAATCTTGTGCAACGGGTCGATCTCCAACGCGCCAGCTCCGTCAACCATGCCAAACACATCGTCAGCCGCTTGCTGGATCTGGTCAATGTAGGAAAAGACAATCATGTCGCGACCCATCTCCTCCCATAATCTCGGTCCGTCATTTTCCAGCTTTTTGGTCACATCTTCGGACAGCCACGGCGGCGATGTACTGATGCTGACACTCGGGGGCTTGTCGGAGGGGTAGCCCTTGGGCAAGCCCATGCGAATCACGACGGCGGGAAGGTGCGAGAGCTCATGGGAGTCGACTCGGGGTTCGACGCCGGGTACCTGGGCGGCGACTGTATCGTCGGCATTGGATGCGGCCGGGAAGGTGACCGTTACGGGTTTCGCGGGATGAACGGGCAGCTCGATAGTGAAGCAAAAGGGCCGGTGGTCGTCGAGCTCGATTTCGGGGAAGATTGCCTGCAGAGAACTGAGCTCATCCTGGCGCGGGTCGTCGCTATCGTCGTCCATGGCTACTACTAGTTGGAAGGCGCGTATTGCATGCTTTGAGGAAAATTAAAATCAAAGCTGCCAGGCAGTCGTCAAGAAGCGAGTGGGGTTTTGCGCTTATATGAAGTAGCGACGAACATGGGAGATGGGTATTTGAACGCGGAGAGACGACTGGTGGCGAAAGTCGCAAAGATTTGGTGGTGTTGGCGAGTGCGTGATGGTGATGATTGGAAATAAACTGGAGACGGTCGCGGAACCCGCGAGAAGTGCGACTGGCTATGACGGGACCATTCTTCTTTTTCTTCTCGGGCCAAGGTAAGTAATCTAGCGCGGGGGAGAAGAAGCGAGAGATCGCGGGTGTAAGAGCGCCTAGATTAAAAAAAAAGTTGGCTGACTGGCGTTCGGACAGACAATGAAATGATGACTCTTTGGCCGTTACAATCGCGGGGCAAAAAGAGGCAGCAGAAAAGAATGACGGTGGGGTCATTCGTTATCAGTCTGTCCCTCGGCCGATAGGAGTGACAAAGGGCGACGCCGCGACGGGAACCTTCAAGGAAATGTGGAAGGCACGAAGGGTCCAGGCCTACGGATACCTACAAGCCACAAAGGCGCCATAGAATAATTAGGCATGCTCGCACAACCGCATGCTGTGCTGGCTGACGGGGAAATACAAGCTCCCGATTGGCCCGAGCTCGAACCTATGCAACCTGACGTATTTATGCAAGTACGCAATGGAAGAGAAGAAATAGAAGCTTGGCCGTAGCCCGGTGCACTCTGCACAGCTGCACTTTGACAATTCTAGAGTGCTGTGCACCACGATCCGCGACGTCTGCTCTAACTTTACCAGCCCCTAGGAAGAGTCAGTCAGTCAGCCAGACAGCCAGCTCAATATCTCTCCACCGCCCAACCTCTTTCCCGCTGAGGCACATGGCATCCCGCATTTAAGAACTCTCCAGATCCCTCTCCTCCTCCCCCATCCCACTGAGGACAAGGCTACCATATCTCAAGTCTCGGTCAGGCAAATGCAGTCGAGTCGAAAACCATGGATCAAGACACGAGACCACTAGCCTCTCTTTCCCTGACACACGTCTACTATGTGAGACCAGAACCCCGGGGAACTACTTTCTGCCAGTGACTTGCTTGAATAAAAACACTAACCAATACGTTCGAAACCACACACAGGACCCCGACGACTCCCTCTCCTTCCTCTGCGCATGGCTCGCGCTCCTCCCGCAAGCCCTCTGCATCGTCTACGCGACCCTGATCTGGTCCACCCGCGAGGTCGAAATCGCCCTCATGTTCGCCGGCCAGCTGGGCTGCGAAGCCATCAACTTCGCCCTCAAGCGCCTGATCAAGGAGGAGCGCCCCCGCCGCATCCACGGAAAGGGCTACGGCATGCCCAGCTCCCATGCCCAGTTCGTCGCCTACTGGTCCGTCTTCCTCGTCCTGTTCTTGCTGATCAGGCACCGTCCCTCGTCCGCGCGCCGGCACCACCGGCCGTACTCGCTCGTCGAGCGCGTCGTGGTCAGTGTCGCTGCGCTGGGCATCGCTGCGGCCGTGGCGTGGAGCCGGATATACCTAAATTACCACACCGAGAAGCAGGTGATGGTGGGGTGCTTGGCCGGGACGGTGTGTGCCATCGGCTGGTTTTTGGTCACGGCTATTGCGAGGGATTTTGGGCTTCTGGCCTGGGGCCTGCAGACGCCCGTTGCGCGGCTGTTCAGGTTTCGGGATCTTGTCGTGGAAGAAGACCCTTGCCAGGCTGGCTGGGATAAGTGGGAGGAGAGGCGTGTGGAGGCAGACCAGCAGAAGACCAAATGAAATAAGCAGAGCTACGTTGGATTCTTGCGTTGTGGAATCCGCAGGACCTTGTGCATCGAGATAAAGCAAATGAATTACCACAGGCTTCACTATTTTGATTGTGTGTCGGTATCAGTAGGCTTGCCAATTTTCTGCACCAACCTCATGATACCCTCAAATCGCCGTTCGGGGCGTCCCACGATACCGCTAAATGTCTGGCCTCGTGTTCCAAAAACAAAGAGAGATTCCTTTAACAGAGAAGGCGAGCCAAGTCTAGAACCACACGAGCTCCTCTAAGAGTTGGATCTTTAATGCAGGGTGGCTTCCAAAGCCAGCGAGAACGGGAAATTCATCATATGAGCGTGGAATTTCTACCAAGGCAGACGACGATTTCACAGGTACTGTAGTTTCAGGGAACTATTAGTCTCCAAGCCTCCTGTTAGTTGAGTTAGCATCTCGGATGGTAGTAGCTGGCAGTGCGGAAAGCGACTGGCATTTATCACGGTTTCATGCAAATGGTCCGCCAAGTTTGTGATTGTTTGAGCTCTTTGATTCATTGAGCTATCTCTTCTGTGCTGTAGAGCCCTTTGGTGGCCTTTACCTCCGCTCGCCAAATTCGTCTCATGGCTAGTCATACCGTCGTCATTGCCATCCTTCCATTTGGAAGTCCTTGACTCTTTGATACCTGCTTTACTGGGTTCTCCTACACTTCAATGAAAGCCTTGTTCCGCCCCCGAGATCGTACACAACGTGCCTTTTTGGAGCACATCGCCAAAGAGACATAAGAAACAAACAATATGTAGACGTTATTAGTCATACAGGTATCTCCGCATAAAACGCCATCCAATGAAATAGTAAATATAAGAAGAGAAAATAGTTCGCCAACAAACTCCGTTCAGTGACCGAAAAAGTTGGATCATACGCTTTTACCGCCCGGTGTAGTCGAGTGTCTATAACGTTTTTTTTTGTAGCGCGTGCGATAAATGCCAGTGTTGATACAGGTCGCGGATCTGGGCTTAGATCCAGTTGCGCTTGTCGTGTTCAGCAGAACATTGGCAATTCTGCTTAGTGCACTTGACCGGCGACTTCTTTCGCTGCGTAGGGGTGTTGAAGCCAACACCCTGAGGGCTAGTCACCCTCGTCTTCTGAGGGCTCTCAGGCCTGTAAACAGCCGGGCTGAGAGTAAGCTGCTCCGGCTCTTGCTCATTGAGCTGGGACTGTCTGGGTACAGTGACCTTGGGAACAGATGGGAGCGTCTTCATCCGCAAATCCTTTTGGGGGCGGATGGGAGAAGATGAGACCAAGGTCGCATCCTCCTCAGAATCGGATGAACCGCTGTCGCTCAGGACGTCGACCTGAGCCAAGGGGCTGGGCCGCTTGATAGGCTCGTCGTCCCTCTCATCGGGATAGCTCAAGCTGTTCACGCTGGCATTGTTCTGGAAGTACTGTGAGTTGAGCGGGGGCATGTCGTCGACGTTTGACAGCCGCAGGCCAATCTGCACAGTCGCTGAAGATGCAAGCGAAGAATCGCGACGATGACGAATGCCCTGAGGGTGAAGTGATGGCGGAGGTCTGAGCAGCAACATCTCGTCCTCATCAGGGATTCTTGCCCCAGGGGCGTATGTCTTCGCCGGAAGCAGAGTAATTGACTTGGTGTTGTTGTTTTGCTCAGATGGGAACAAGGAGTAGGACCTCTTGCGAGCATGGGCCTTTGGCACCTGGTAGGTTGATACTTGAGCAGGCTCCGGCGTCCTTAGAGGGGAGCGGGCCGGCTGCCATACGGCGTTTTGTCGGAGAGGGTTGGCATAGGTGGGAGACCCAGAAGGACTCTCGATGCGTGCCTCCTCCTCCTTCTCGGGCACGAGGCTGTCGGTGCTGTCCATGCGTCGCAGCGAACGGGCCCGGCCGACAGGGTTCATCATGTGGTTTTCGTAATCATCGTCGCCATTATAGACACGAATGCCGGCCTTGAGTTTATTACGCTCTAACTCCCACTTGTCGCTTTGGCGGGGACCGATAGTAGAAAGAGTATTTGATCGCAAGAATAGATGCAGACCGCCGGTCAGTAGGCCAGATACGTTGGCGACGACAGAGGCAATCATAGAAAGCGTCAGGGCCTGGCCAGTGGCACCTCGCTGTTCCGTGAACGAGAGGTTGAAGAAGAAGGGGATGAGGAGAGTCTGTATTGGTCAGTAAGTGGACTCGGACAAGATGTCATTGTTAATACTCACAGTCGAGATGAAGGCTACTGCCAGGAAGTAGACCATTCTAGACGCGGCAATACGCTCACTGTTCTCGATTCTGATGTTGTTGTGGAGACGGAAGAAGATCACCAGAGCCGAGCCCAGCAACGCCGCCGAGATAAAAGTGAGAAGTACGAAGCAGCCCTCCTTCCAGCGCTGGACGAACCAGAAAAGCGAGGCAAAGCAAAAGTTGGGAGGGCGGACGAAGAGGGTGACTAGGTAGGTAATGAGGAGAAAAGTGCCGACGATGGCGAGGCAAATGGTAACATTCCACTTGCCACGAGACGGCAGTGGGTTCTTTCGTAGAGACCGGATGGCCACCTCTAGAGCGAATACGAGTTGGATGTACGGAACAATGAAGACCGCTAGATACGATTGTTAGCTGAGCTTCTGGGATACGTAAACGAAGGCTACGAACCAGGCAGCATCATTTGGGAGGTGATGGTGCAACCCAAAGTTAGGAGATGGTCGAGTCCAGTCGACTGTGCAATGGCAAAGACGATGCCTTGAACGACGATGCCGACAGATAGAACGAGAGGAAAGGACTCTGCAGGTCCGACAAAAGTGAATCCATGCGTTCTGGAGCACAACGTTAGTCCATTGACTTGACTCATTGGTGACGGCAGTGACGAGCGTACCTGAAGCCGAACTTTTGGTTGTTCCTCTTGGCCGTTGCATAACCATCCCAAAAGATACCAATTGCTGTTGCAAATGCGGCAATAACATTGAAGACGGCGAGAATGATGGTTGAGGTTCGAATCGATTTGGCGGCTTGGAAGCGGAACTGGTTGATGATGGCCGATGTCGAGTTGTTGGTGGCCTTGAAGGGTCCTCGTAATGAATCCGCCACGCCATTACCGTCCGTCACGCTGTCATCGTCGGCCCTCGTCCACAAGTCGCCTCCATATCCCCAGCTATCCATCTCGTCGATTATTCAACTGGCACTGGTCGTCGAAGAGATGAGCGCAGGCGTCGAGCCGCAGCGGTGCCAGATATTAATTCGCTTTCCGAACCATCTAATCCATAGAAGAGTCGATGTTGATCCGGTCGTATGAGGTGTAGAAGAGTATGGGTGAGTCGAACAAGGAGAGTGAGGAGAAGAGGAGGAGGAGGATGGCGATCGTACGGATGGGATGGAGAAGTGAAAAGAGTAAGTGAAAAGACAGGATGGATGGTAATGGACTGCCGCTCTTGGACGAAGAAGGCGGACCAGACGAAACAGACACTAGGCGAAGTCGGGACCTACGAATAGAAACAAGGAGTAATAGGACCAGCCACTCAAGAGAAGGAAAGGGACCGGCCTGAAGGAAGGGAAGGGAAAAAGAGACCAGTTCCAAAAAGTCAGACGGAAGGAGGAGGAGGGAAGGCCGCATGAAGAGGTCAAAAGGCGATCACAGAAAGCGTGGCAGAGACGGAGAGGCCCACCTCAGCAGGGGGCTAACATAGATAGATAGGTACCCAGTCGCAAGTTGCAAGGGACAGGCTCGGGAAGGGCCCCCGCGCGGGCCAGATGAGGTCCGGAGAGTTAGCCAAACCGCTAAATGGGGCCCAAGTCCAACTTTGGTCCAGGGTAACACGGCTGATGGATGGCCTACCAAAGAGGGCGAGGACGAGGGCGAGGGCCAGAGCAAGGGTGACGACCGTGACACTCTTGTGGAAAAGACGGGCCATCCAGAAGACGGGGACAGGAACGAGCGAATGAGACGCAGGCTGTACCTCGAGTCGACGTGCGACTGGATGGTGGGCAGTGAGGGGCTCAGATGGGGCGAACGTCTCTTGACGTGCATGTTGCTGGTTTGGGGATGGACTCCTAGGGCCACCATACATAGGTACACGCAGTCACGTCCAGTACGGTTTGGTATCATGGTATCCAGGTATCTTGGTCTTGGTCCTCCTAGAGAGGGCTCAAGAACATGGAAGACAGGGCTGGGCGCGGGATGACAACCATGTTCATCACGACCCCGCCGACTAACTGGCTGGGCTGATTTGGGATTATTTGCCGTGCTTGCCTCTCAGGCCCTTTGCCTTCCAGTGGAGCAAGGTGCTCCAGCTCAACGATATGAAGACCATGGGAACCTTGGGAGGGGGAGCTGAGGTGAGGAGAAAAAAACTGGGCTCTCATGCAGTCCCCCGTCGCAACGAGCCGGCAGAATATGTGCTGAGGATGCCTGAGGTGCAGCAGCATGCGTGTGTGCTGGAGCGAACCCAGACTCGAGGCTCGAGGGACAGGCACCGTCAGAGTGAGAGAAAGGAACAGGCACAGAGGGCGAAAGACTGAGTGAGGGTGTCACTGTGGGTGAGGATGAGGGCAAAGAGGAGGGCTTGAGGCGATGGCATTGAGTGGCGATGAGGTGAAGCAGTGATGTAACACGTCTGGGTTTCGTAGTGTCGCCCAAAATGCCTGAGCCCCTGGCTGTGAGGTTGAAGTTGACAAGGTTTGACGTTGGACTTGAGCCCCAGATCTGGGGGGCACTAGGAGACAACCTTTGTGCGCCTTGCTGCTTTGGGACTAGTGCAGTGTTGCCAAGTGAGTGGATCAAACCGCCGCAGGGATCGTGGAAGGGGCGGCTGATGGCGATGCCGAAACCTTTTTCGTTCCCTCTCCTCAGAACCCTCCAACCCGCTCAACTCCTCATCCACCCCTTCTCAGTCTGCCTATCCAATCGTGTCGTTTTTTGCGGCTCCATCTTCCTCTGATTCTGTTTAATCTGGTCTGGTGTGCCGAAATCCTCTCGAGATGCGGTGGATGCGGGGCCCTCCTCCTGCCTCCAGATGGTAGATGGGTTGGTTGGGAATGGCCTCACCAGTTCGGCTCAAAAGTTCTTGGTTGGCAATTCATATGTCCACACCGGCAGACGCATTCAAAAATGACAACAACACACACGGGAAATACACAGCCAACGCAGAGGCGCAGACTATTTCATCGGTGTGTATCGAGTCAGCGCTGCAATCTACGAGTTATGCCCGATCGCGAGTTGCTGCGGCCATGTAGCGAGGCGCACGGAGAGGGCGGCGTCAACGTCAACGCCTGGGTTCCAGCCCACCAGCCAGGCAAACACAATCCACATGGCGGGGATCCTTCTCACTTCCTCATCGACTCGACCTGGTAGCCCACTAGCCCTCTTCACGGGATGTTTCTGCCAGTCGGAGGGCCTGGGCTGTTGCACCAGCTATCTTGGTCCTGGACTCCTGCACGTGTTTACCCTTGCCACGGGGCTCGGTGTTGCCAGGGCATCCGTTGCAAACCTTTCTCAATCTCAAATATCTCGAGCTAGGCTATCGGAGGGACAATACAACTATCCAACAGGAACAGAGCGCCATCTAGTGGTTCCAATACCGTCTGGTAGTCGACCAGCCTGTGATGGACGAATCGAATCTCGTTGACGGCTGATCAAGTTCGTCTGTTTCCACAGATTTTCGAGCGATGAGGCAGATACCGTGTCACATGAGCTGAGATGGCCTGCACAGGGGCTCGGACGAGGGCCAGCGACAAGGATCCATGCCGTCAACAGCCCTGCTAACATGCACACTTACATCAGGCTATTCCTTCCACGGCTAGGGTAATGCTGCTTTGACGGCACCGAGCCGTGCGAGCCCAGTAGGCCCAGATCTGTCTGGCACGTCAGACCTCCCTAGCCCCCGTACGAAATGTGACGGCGTTGCGACTGGCGGCACGTCAAAAGAGACGAGACAAGCAAGACATGCACCTTGCGCGAACTACTGACGAGGAACAAGCGAACGTCCATCATCCGTCGCTTGGGGGCGGGCGCCGCTGCGGGGAAGGGCGATCCCTCGCCTCTTGCCACGAGACGCCTATAGACGATGGCGCGTCCGTCACAATTTCGAAGATCATCAAGTTGTCCTTCGGAATCTGCTTCGAGAGTCCCTTGGTCCCCTCATTCACAGCTGATACGATCTGCAAGATAAAAGAGGGCCGTCTGTGATGGATTCCGAGCGACTCCAACACAACGGATACACGGGGACAAGCTCAAAGACTAGTCAGTAGTGCGACACTATTCTTCCGAAGACAAGAATGGCGCCAACCCGCATCAGGTGCCAATGGCCGTCAAACACTTTAATTAATCTCCAACATGTCAACCCTACGGATATTGAGCCCGCTGCTAGCTTGGGGCACTAGTCACAACCTTGAACCAAATCTTCAACGCTTGGCTGCATCGCCCCCACCGACCAAGAGTGCCCGCGGTGACCAACTAGCCGGTGGAATATGGTTGCTCCGAGATGATGAGGGACTACAGTCTACTGCGTACGCAGGCTTGTGGCCGTCGCCGTGTCCTTGCCCACCTCGCATCACTGAGCTCGCCAGCGTCCCGTCAGTCCGGGGAGACCCACGTTCGTTGCTGAACCGGTCCTCGCCGTCGATCAAACGGGATATTCAGACTGACGTACAGCCAAGGGACGGACATCGCGACTACCCCTCTGCAGTTGCCATCTTACGATGTCCAATTATAGCGGACACGGTCGAAAAATCCTCGCCCCAATTCGCTTGCCACTTGCAGATTCCCACGTTGTCGCGTTCTTCCATTCGTGGCTTCTATTCTATGGTTCTCGATCATGCCACGAGTGTTTGCCGCTTCTCCCGAGCCGCACTTGGGATTTGACTTGGCCACATCACCAACCTCGCACGGCAGCTTATCAGTCGACCGGCTTCACGGGTCTTGACCGACGTCATGAGAGGCTGCCTTCGAGAAGTTACTGCTGAGGATCACCATTGCAATCTTCTTGGCAACGTTGCCACCTCCACCTGGTGTTGTTGAGATGAAATGTTGAGATGAAATGTTGGAAAACGGGAGGGCAAGAAACTGTCATCCAAAACCATCTCCGTTGCCTTCCCATCCAATTCCCCTCTGAGAATTCTCCTGAACCCCGCGGCTTTGGGGGGTCATCCAATCTCATCCAACAGCATTTGTTTATGGACTCGTCTGAAGTGAGTGCGAGGGCGGTAGCAGTGAGCCTCTTCTGGCGCGGGTGTTTCATCCCAATCATCACCAACCCGCCCACGAATGGCTGCTCGAACTTCCGGAAAGTGGGAGAGATTTGTTTTCTCTGAGAGTGAGTTCACGGCATCGCGGCTATGATCTATCCAGCCAAAACGATGCAGGTTCGGAATAGGCGTCGTCACTAGCACGATTTGACTTTTCATTGGAGCTATAGAGGTGAGGAACCGTCAGGGAAAAGACTGGACGACGAACGAGTCGGCGGCTTTTGCTGCCTACCGCCAGCGTCTCTCGGTATTCGCCCCGGGTATTCAACAACAAGTGTTGGACGTAGAGAGCCGCTTCGTCATGCAATATAGCGTGCCCGACTCGTTGACCTCGACATTCGTCGCCTTAGCAAGTACTAGGCATGCAAGTTGAAAAGTTTAGACGATAGTTTGCCCAACGTGAGCCACCCAAAGGGTCCGGTCCGCATGGTCGCCAATGCTACAAGATGATGTGCTGGGTGAGTCTTTTCCCTCGACTGGACGATGGTCCCTTTTTTCGGTAGGCCCCTCCACCTACTTGCTTGGCTATCTGAATCCTTTTCTGGTTCAGACGATGAAGCATATAGAGTGATGTCAGGTGAGATGCGAAAACGAAGATGGGCAACTGACTCACGAGATTTGTGTGTCCTGCGCGGGGGGATGGGGACTGGAGACTGCTCTCGTGTTTCCAGCCTAGATAGCCGGCAGGCGTACGTGCCGTTCATGGAATACAGACGGGCCGACGAGGGATCGACGGCGCGGCACCAGATTTCTTCTTTCGGCGGTACTGCCGCATTCACGCTTTTCCCTAATCACGGCGTCAACGTCTTTGCCGCGTACTTCACACGTGCCCGAACGAACTGCTTGAGGAGGCTCTGTTTGATCTTGGTAGTGTGTCCCTTGGGCCGCGTTGAGCATACTCGGGACACATGATTCGTGGCCGAAGTCGATCACACATGGAAGGCTATATTCAGAACATTATCAACGTCGTTCAAGCCCCATCAAGCGGCTCTTTCCTCCGGCGTCCGCGTGTCCGGCCTGGATATCTCGTGTGGTCGGCGTAACCAACTATAGATATACTCTAGCCCAGCCTTTTTTGATGAATTGCTCAATCAATGTAGTGTCCAAATAAGAAGAAACCCATTCAAAAGCCAGCGTCTAAATGGCCCACAAGGCCAGATCCCAAACCCCGCACAATATCTTGGTCAATGCTTGACAGAAGAGGGCCGGCCGCTTGAACATGTTGACCAAAGCTGGTTGTTTCCGCCCCCAACAGGGCCACCAACCCACCCGGGCCCGTCCGCCCTTTTGCCTAGACCTCTTGCAGAGAGGAAGCACGACTCGACGCACTATCCATGACGACGATGATTAGAATGTGGTTGTCTCGAATTGATTGCGAAGGTCCGAAGACGAAAAAAATCTTTATAAGCTCGTCTAGACTGCTTTACCCAACCGTATAGAGACTGTTCTCCGGCTCACGTAATTGAGGCTAACCACTGGAAGTCGCACATGAATTATGACTGTACATGGATGGAGATGAAGGCCCGATGAATCTAGGGCCGTGTGCGTGTTGGCAGAAATACAACAGAGATGGTCTTTGTGTGGCCCTCTGCCGAGCGTCTAAAATAGGCGTCATCATATAGTCGCCAATGCAATGACTAAAGTGTGGTTTCTCAACGAGAGGAATCATGATTTTACATTCAATGAAATCATTTAATCCATTTTCAAACGTACTGATTTCTAATAGCTTCGGCCATGGTTGTCAGCAATTTAGACGTCTGCTCGGCTGCTCCACCACTAGCGACCCACCTCACATGTGGATCACGATAGCTTCACAAAAATACTAGAAAAACATACAACACCAGGTATTCGCTGGTCGTCACCGACCCAACTACTAATCCGGCCCTCATTGGCTTATCTATGGGAGAGCGGACGGGATCCCGAGTTTTCCAATGGGTATGGTCGTATGTGGTGGTTTGAAGGTGCCAAGTTGACCTTGAATGAAAGAAACCAAGCGAATGTCGACCACCAGACCTCGCTTGAGCTCCTACATCTTGCACGATGAATTCGGTATGGTTGTTACTGTATTCTATCTCAAAGCTATCTATCGCAGTATGTATCTCGGCGGTCGAGCAGCTTAAGCTACTCTGTTGATGGGGCAGCAACTACTTCGGCCACAGTATCTCAGCCCTGAAGATATCAAAGGCCTTCAGACAAGGTCCGCTTTCCCACAGTCGCACCTGAAAGCCGATTGAGTACGTATAGTCAATAGAATAAACCCCGACTGGCTTCGTTCTTTACTGCAAAAAATTCCCTTGAAACAAACCATGGGCGGCCCGTTCCAGTACGGGACTCACGGCAACCCAAGAACATCGGACTCGAAGACCCGACAGTGGACTACTCGGGGCTATCGCCTCAATACCTCGTTCGATAAAACATGAGATCCTCCGCAATAGCACAAAAAAGAGCCCAAAGGCGTTGTGGGGAGTCTGTTGTTCGCTGATCCGATTTGACGAGGTTTCGACGGCCCCCGTAACGCCCGATGATACACTTCCCACATACCGTCCGGTAGATCGTCTCCCTTCCCCGTCCTCTCTCTCTCTCTCTCTCTCTCTCTCTCTCTCTCTCTCGCACCCGTCGTAACATCTGAGATACTACACCCCAGAGGTAATCCACCAGTCGCCACGACGACTTGAGATGGTCATTAAAGATATGCTACATCTGAAGAATCGGATTCTCGTCACCGATTGCCTCAGTATGAGTCTCAAGGTGTAGAGGGGGTTGAAGACCCCACGTCAGGCCGTCCCTTATCGATACTGCAGGTGTGAAGACAAAAGGGTATCAGAGATTTCGGTATGTGGTGCCGATGGCGAGGCCGCCGTTGCTCGTCGCAGGAGGTAGTATTCGGACTATTTTTTTGGGGGGGGGGGGGGCGGTTCCTAACCGATTGGCCTTGCCCGGGAACCTGGGGACACTTGGTGATGGGGATTTCAACTACCGCCGATTGAGCTCTCGCAGTCGCTTCGAGGGACGAATTGGGAAAATGGGGGGAATGGTTCACAGTCCTGCCCTTTATCGTTAGTATCACTCTTGGCGGGCTACCAGAGAGCGGCAGGCATAGCTAAAGCTGCTGTCTCACCTTACTGCCGACTCTCACTCCATCCTGGCTTGGAGTGCTATCCTTCGCACATCGAAGGGAAGCAGATCGGAAATACCCAAGAGACTAGGAGGTGGGCGTGGACTGAAACTCCATGTGATTATCATTTTTGTCATTGCCAACGTGAACATGTTAACCGCACTCCAAGACAAGAGCTGGTTTGGGCTCTTGCAAGCTTGTTGATGTGTATCGGGCCTTGAAATACATCAGAAACAGAATTCCCCGTATTGGGGTCATTGGATATCATACGTCTACTTCATGATAACTCTTACATGAGACAACGTATCAGTGCTACTGCAAAGTCTTTGACCCCGAGTGCGCAACTAGTCAGCCTAGGACAGATACCGTTTAGCTTTATTCGATGAATTCAGATCTTATCAGAAGCTCTGGGCCCTTCCTACCTTATCCAAAAGGATTTCAGCTCGTATCAACCCAATGCCCCCATTGTATTGTTTGTACTGGTTCACGTAGATATCTCATTGACTATATACGGACAATGTACGCCAGATATGCTGTCAGAAACGCTCATAATATTCGTACCAGCGGTGTTGAAACAGTATATCCGCCATTTATAATGCCGATTCTTTCATCTTGTGAATGCATTCTTGTTCATGGCTCGGCGTATGGATGGTGGTGTTGGCCGAGCGGGTGTACCGGGTGACGTTGCTCGGTTTCGGTGGACTGAATAAAGACATCGTTTCCGGCCACGAGTGTATGGAAACATGACCCTTATGCCCTTAACTTATACTTGGAAACCTCGGTTGGAGCTTATAGAGGCAATGCTCTATGTCACGAACTTGGCAAAGTGCTACATGCTATGGCCTCGGCAGAGCCCAGCTCTCATCGGCTTTGCGCTCGATCTCATCTGGCTTTCGGCCTGTATGTAAACCACCCAATATCACTTGATCTTTGTTGAGCTTTGAGAAGTGTTTGAATCTCAATGGTCTCATTTCAGCATTAGTCTCGAATAGATTTTGAGCGGCTGAGCCCACGGAATGTGGGGGAAAGACGCCTTCATTCTCACACTTCACCTCGCCACGAAGAATGAGTGCAGCAGTAAATACAGCTCAATCTACACAGCCTGATTGTCCCGATAGAAGTAAAAATCAGAAGCATATTCGTCAGTGTCTCACGACTCCCTCTTAGGATATCCGAAAAGCATGGACTTAAATGATGGTAAAATGCGTTCAATTGATTTGACTTCCTGAAGGCTGTAATTTAGACCCACGAGAACAACGACAACATCAAGGGCGTCTTTAGGTCCACTTATAAAAAAGCATAGACTCCATGATCTAGATGTTTTTGACTCCTTACCAACCTGATACTTATACGCTGATGTCTCTTCTCATATCGCAGACACCTTCGCATCATCCTTGGCTTGAGCTGAATCACCAAGTCACAACTTTCACGCTCCAAATCAATCAAGCCATGAAGTTCCGATTCATCATCCTGCTATCCACAGCAGTTACTGCTGCTGAGGACGAGAATACGCGATGGTGTAATCACGAACCAAGTGATTCCGACTTTACTTGTGATGGTGTGAGTAAATTCATCATAAGATACCTTTGCAGACGACACGCGACTGATTCTGGCATAGAGACCATCCGTCTACTGTGTAAGTATCCCTAACCCGTACCGACGACTGGTGCTAACTTCCTCGAACAGTGTGACCGGATTCTCAATACCTTGGCGCAGCCAAAACGCAAGAAAGATCTCCCAGTCAAGCGCTCATGTGGCAGGCAAGGTATACATGTACGATCGAGAATTATACGGCTGCTGGTCTCATTGGTGTAAGTCCCCTTCTACTTGCAATTGATGCTGTAGCTCAGAACTCGAGCTGACCATGGGACAGCATGCCGCCTGCGTAAGAACGTGCACCAGCCACGGCCATGTCAATACCAACCCATATACCAGTGCTAAACGGTGATATTTTAACGATTCAAAGGTATCAGGGAAAGATTATCTTTGTTTGACTTGCCCGCTCAAAACGATTTAAGGAGAAAGGCGCTGGTCTTGGGGAGGCGGATGACTGTATCACACTTGTCTGGAGTCGTGTAGATGAGAAAACATTTCCCCGGCTGTCGTGAAATCAACTCGTGAGATGGTACACGTACTCGTAGTTTCTGTGTATGGCAACCCGAACAGCTATGCCTTCTGTGTTGCGTGACTAATAGGCGGGAAGATGCATCATCGGTCTTGCTCCGCGATGTATGATCCGCTCGTATCTACTGCTGGACTCCAAAGACACAAACACACACAAGGCAGTCAGACGATCACGTCATGTATATTCGGCCACATCTCCCGCTAGGTCTCACATCGGCTCTGCCCCGCGTTGCGCGCGATGGGACGGCTTACACTGTCGGTGGGCTTAGCAAGCTCACTTTTGTTACTGACTACATATCGAGTCTAACCATCAGCGCACAAGGAAAACCGCCGGCCATCTAATCTCCAAAGAGCCTACTTGGCCGCCGCCGGTCATTAAGCCCGACTGCAGGAATTTTTGTTATTTCAATGTGCCTCAATACATTGAATTTTGGAGGGACGATGAATGATTGCCTTGGCGAATGCACGACGATGACTGTGTTTGAGATAATTGATTTTTTTTCTGAGCAAGGAGAGACATTTCTTGACACTTGAGCATAACCCTATGTATTCTGCCCCATGACATCACGTAAAAATCCTAACATAACTTTCAGTGCGTTTAGCTATCAAGGCCAAGACTCTGAAAAGCAGTCGAGCGAGTAGCTAACCAACACCGGCCGTGACGAACTCGTTCTGGCGAAAAAGTAGACAAGCAACTTAAAACAGTGGTCTGGGCCGTCTCGGCAACAACCTAATTCTGGGGGAAATGACACTAAGAGCCTGCGCCTCTCTATCGAGGCGAGCCTCAAGAAGCTCCAGATCACGTACATTTACCTCACCACCTCCACTTTAGGGAGATGACCGCCGATCTCCCCGAGATCATGCGCTCGCTGAACCAGCTCTTCACTTCGGGCAACGTCTTATACTTTGACATCTCTGATACTTGCATCTGGGCTGTGGTCATGTGCAACGACTGTGCCCGGCATCAAGGCTCGGGTCAGTTCTCAGTGCATCAAGGCAGTTGGTCTGCTGCTGACCCGGACTTCGAGAGGAACATGATCCCAATCTGCCTGGCATAGAGTATGGTTTGGTATCGTGGAGCACGCTCGGCCGCGTGCCGTTCAAGCCTAGGGACTAGACTAAAGAAGTCGGCTTAAGATATGCACTCGACGAGTAACGGGCGCGAGGCGTTAGTGTCGGAGAGAAGGTTGCGTTACTTTGGTTGCTCTAGCATACGTCTTCCATAAGGCACCCCATGTTTCCCCCATCTTGGGCGGTCGAAAAGTCGATTACATTAGGATTCACATCGAGGCCCTAAGTCTATGGCTGGTGAGAGAGAGGACCTTGATGACATCGAAACTGCATGTCCTTTCGACATCGGTTTTCCGTACAACCTTTTGAGCGGGTATGACAAACGTGGCGCGAGTGGACTACAGGATATTTGGACTGCCAATATTTGCGGGATCTTTGATCATGTCGAAGACATTGACCCTATCTTACCGAGATTTCCATAGCTTTACTTACGTTTGATAGTTTATAGTCTTCGAGGCAAACAAGTCCGATTACATCATCTTCGTCATCGAGGGCCTGAGAAAGCCCGCGTATCTCATATACTTGATACTCTGGGAAACATAGATTTCGCCTGGTTGAGCTCGAGGGCGGCCTAAGCTGAAGGCAATTTGAACCTCGAAGATCATGTCTTCTTGCATAACTGTCATGCTGCCGGGTCATGAGCAACGAGAAACCTCAAGCTCCAGCGATCTTGGCGCTCTTCAGCGGATGGACCTGGATCTCCAGGGCGAAGTTATAGTTGGAAGAACGTAAGAACCAATTTAATTCGAACAAGGCTAGGAGACTCTAGAAAATATTCAAGACCAAACCCGGAACACCAGTTTGGACGCCTCCTTCATCTGGCGAAAGGAGCTATGAGTAGTATCTCCCCCTTCTGCTGTCGGCTCTTCCATGACTGTAGCAGATCCGATGGAGAAGTGTGTTGACGTCTCTGATCTGGACGGCTTCAATCTGGGCTACATCACTTCATCGGCCTCTTTTCGGAAGATGTCGTGAATCTGCTTGTGCCAAAGTCACGAAGGTATGGCATATACCTTGAGGCTCTAGAGCCTGCCTCGACGTTGCGCGAAACCGTTAAAGGGCTGAACTCGGCTGAGGGACGACCACGTAGGCAGTGAATATAAGTATGATACGTATCAGGAAGACAAGCCGGTCTTTGGTAATGACCACCTTTGAGAGAAGAATTAAGAGCAACAATGCGAGCTTCCCATGTAAGACTAAATAGCTACAAGGTAGGGTAGATAAGATGATTCAAAAGTTAAAAAATCGCACGAGGCTTCGATCAAAGGCTACGACAAGGGCAATTGGGCAACGGCTGACATTATGTAGTACATGAATAGCTTCATAGGCCTCGAGATATACGCTCATAGGTTCTTCCTGACGCCTTGGGCCTTGAAAGCAGCAGAAATCTCTCCATATGCCACGTAGATGGCATAGATCGGGATAAAAACCCATAGCATATTGAAGAAGACGAGGTACACCCAAAGGTACATGAAGTTGCTCGTGTCCAAGTAGATGTTGCCGGTCAGCCATTCGGGGCAGAAGGTCATGAATCCTAGATCATGTCAGTTGACCCACGCGTTCCCGGAACGCCAGACATCAGTTGCCAACTCACCGCCATAAAGCTCCGCCGTTGCGATGACAATCATCCAAATGTTGACCTTGGGGTCACGCTTAGCAATGCTGTAGCAGATCCACACCGCCAGCGGTCCGGCGCCGAACACCGTTAAGAGCTCCAACGAAATCACACCCTAGGGGCCCAACAAGTTAGCCAGCGTCTCGTCTCTGGAACAGCCCTTTTCGGCAACACACCAAGTCCGCGCCGGCCCATCTCTTATCAGCCCGCGCATAAACCATCCACAACTGCGCAAATGGATTGTTTCCGCCCGCTTGGGCGCCATAGATGCGATCTGAATGACCGAGGAAATTGGCCGGGGTCGGGTGGAAACCGCTGAGGTCGGCGTCGGGCACGTCGGCGAGAGGGATGTAAGAGAAGAAGCAGTGATAGAGGAAGCTGCCCTCGAGGAAGAAGTGGATCAAAGCATCAAAGGCGTGCCAGATGAAGAGGACGCGATAGCTCGTCGATGTGGCGGGGTGGAGGACTCGACGGGACACAGCGATAGCTATGGACAAGAGGACGACGGTTGCAGCCAGGGAAATGAGCGTTGTCTGATCGAACAGATCCGGCGGCAAGGTTGAAGATGTGTTGGACATGGTAGGCAGGAGCGTGTCGTGTAATTGACTCTATTCGTTCTTGATGATTGTTGGTGAAGCTGTGTCGCGCCAGTCGTAGGTTGTCAGGTCCAACAATCTTGCGACGTTCAAGCGAAGGATCCGTGCACCGGAACCCCAGGCCCGGTGTGGGGAAAGCATCAACGCAAGTGGAGACTATTGGTGAATTATGCAAGGATAGATGTTGCATCGAATGAAAATCATCATGATTTCAGATGGGATCTGGTGAAAGGACTAGAGGTGGCATACCTTAGTACGTTTGGTGTCTTGGATTAATTGGACAAATTAGATTGTGATTAAAGACAGGTTTTAGGGAACAAAATCCATGTTCGATCATGAAAGATGTCACTCATGAATAGGAAATCGATGTGGTCTTAGCAATGCAGTGGCATTAAAAGCTATTCTAGGTAGAAGATCCGTGATCAATTCCCAGGTATTCCTGCCTCATTGCGTGTCCCGATCCGTTCCAAACGCCTACTCGTTGAAAATTCCCTGGTGTTTGGGTATCGTGGGAATGATTTAGTGCTTGGCCTGCTCCTTGTATCCCTCGCCCTTGAAGTCGTGCTTGGACTCGTCGATCTTGTCGCCAACGGCATCCTTGGCAGCGGAGGCACTGAAGAAAGGTGTTAGTCAAGAGTATTGATAGAGGTGGAAGAAGGGAAGCTTACCGGTTGCCGATGGAGACGTTGTCATCCTTGGCGACCTGCTTGTTGGTCTCCTTGGAGGCGGTGGCACCGGCCTGCTGGACAGACTCGGAAACGTAGTTGGCGGCGTTCTTGATGGTCTCCATTGTGAAGTAGGTTGGGTTGTTTGGTTGGTTGGTTGGTGGTGTTGTTTGTTTGTATTGAGGGTTGATTGATTGTGAGTGTGATGAAGAGAAGAGAAAGGCTGATAGAGGTGGTGGGAAGCAGAGGTTTATATAACAAGTTGGCAGCAGTCTCGAGGCGCCCTCTCGTATGGAGGGAAGGCAGCTGCTGCCCCTTTTCGGCGTGGTGCCTTTCTGCCTTGCGGAAGTTGCCCCGCTGACAGGTTGAGTTCGATCATTCGAATACCTACCCGTCGGTAAGGAAGGAAGGCACCTCACGGGTGGGAGACAATGACACCTCAAGGAAGGAGGTACCTCCCGCTCCATCATAGCATGGGAAGGTACATCGCGGGTTGCCCCTCCGTCTGCCTGCCCCTCCCCCTCGTTTGATTCCTCGTCAAGTTCCCGAATGCAATAGTTTGGGCCGTGCCTATCGGGCTTGTCTCTCCCTGCGCGTGTCTTGCTCCTCCTCCGGGCTTGCCCACTCGTGGCTAGAGCGCAGTTTCACCCCATCTGGCAAAGACGCTCAGGGTCTATCATGTGAACTGAAGAAATGTCGTCATAGACTGTGACATCCTTCGCAGTTACTCCAGTTAGTGGGAGTTGAGGATGGATTGTATGGCCAATGCCCAGAAGCCAAAGGGAGATCTCTATCGAAAATGACCAAGAGGTGGCCCAGGTGGCTCCTTGCGGACCTTCCATGTCTGTTTAGCAGTCGCACCAGCCACAGATGAGGAGAGCTACATACAGCTCTTGCAACCTGCAGGAGCTTTGGGCAAGCTACCTACCGTGCATTCTCAAAGTGACGTCAGGAGGACGTAGACGCACGAACGTCATACCTAGGTGGGTAGGCACGGAATTGGTAGTGTCCCCGCATGGACCTGGATGGTGGACCTATTGTGTATGGGCCTGAGGCTGGGCTTCCACTTTCAGCATCCCACGATACATACATACGTACCTTGCGGTACTCTAAATCTTTGCGGCCCCATGCCATTGAAGGACCCCACTTGCATCTCTAGGCTCACAATACGATGGGACTTGTATGGTTGTTGGCCCATCCGCGATTGCAGCAAAGACAACCATTGCCACATGCAAAGAAGACATGTCCATTCTCGCGTCGGTCGCGTAATGCTGGCCACCGAAATACGTCAGTTTGTCGATTGCGAGCAGTGGCCAGCCAACCAGGCTACACGTCCTGTCTTCAGAGAGGATGGCATTTTTGCAAATCTCGATCATGCTGTCTACTTTCCCCACCCTCTCCGGGACATCATCTCCCATCATCTCCCATTATTGGAAAACACATCCACACTCTCCCGGTCTCACCCACGGAAGCCAAGCAGGCTCGCAGCCACAGTGGATCACACGATGAGCGCAAAGAGGGCAAGCAGTAAAAGCAGATTCGACGGGACGGGAGAGCTATGAACAAGCATCAACCACTCGAACTCAGCTTCACCGGGTGAGCACAGATCAATGAGCCTACTGGACAGCGCCAACCACCGTGTTGCTGATTCGCTGCGTTACAATAGAGCTCCATGCGAAGTGACGACACCGCCAGGTAGCTTTGTGCTTTGGGCCCAGCAAGCCATCCAAGGACCGTTCTGGACCACCCAAAGCGTTCGAGAATCCAGACAACATCGCAGCTGCCAACCCCCAGAGTCCGCGTCTGCCCCTCTGCCTTCTGGAGTATGGAGTCGGTCGTCTGGATGCGGCAAGATGCGGGTTTCAATTTGCACTTGCGCAGCCCGGCGAATTCCCGCAACCTACGAAACAGTTGACTGTTTCCCGATTCGCCCCTCCACAGCAAGCACGCCTGTATGTCATCGAGATCCCCGATGAACGAGCCACTGGGAACAATCACAACACGATGCGGAAGAAGGCCCGTCTCCTTCCCTTCCATTTACTGCGTAAGTCTTGCCTCCTGCTCCATACCTTATTATTGGTACATTCTGTCACTCTCAGCTTTATGCTCGGACGTTCTTCTCCGGTCAAAGGCGGCTGATTGTCCTGCAGCATGGGGGATTCTCCACGCTGCGTCTCATGTGATGCTGATGCCACAATTGCGGCATGGCCCAGCTTTACCCTTGGACGGACGAATACGATGCGAGGAAAAGACCGATGCGTTTCCCAACAGAGCAAGTACTTTCTCACGGGAGAGTATCAGGCGCATCTGCTCGTACCGTCTTACCTCGCCATCAATTCGGTTGACAGAATTCGTGCACGACAACATGCGGAATTTTCGCTGGGCCGCGTTGCACATCGTATCCACTCTCGTTCAGATCTTCGCCTACGTACACCAGCTTTTGATCTCGTGCCCCTCGTCGCGACGTTTGCCTCCTCCCGGTTTGCTTATACCGTGTCTCCATTGTCCGACTTCCCGAATCCGAAAACATCCCACGGAAACTACGTCACAGCAACGACATCGCCAAAATCACATCGGTAGTCGCTCTCGCTGTCCATTTTGCTTCTGAAGCACTAAAGCCACTATTACAGCGGACCTTGAGGAACCCGATTGCTACCCCTCTTCTGCCCCTCGGCTGGGCACGTCTCATTCTTAGACACTGCTTCCAACATATCCGTCCGCATTCCACTCAATAAGGTAAGGCCGTGTTATGTCAATCAGCGGGGCCTAGCGTCGTCAGGACATGAGCCTCGGAGTAACCTGAAGCCCCGCCGCCGTTCTAGAGCTACTTGTACGTCGTCAAGCTTTTGTTGGGCTGGCGACCCAATTCTGGGTTCCTCGTGTAAGCTTGTTGTCAGTGCTTGTTGACAGTCCTAGCTCCCTTGAACTTCGCTACGCCTTGTGCTTGTCAACTCTAGCCTGAACCCGAGACTCAAACGAAGCCGCGGCTCATTGTCCTAAGTTAGGCCCCTCATACGAACTGTCCTTCAATAGCTTCTCGCCGCGTGTCTTTCTGGTCAATGCAGCCGTTGGCGCCCCTGGCTTTACCCCTCCATACCATTCCATGGGCACGCGGGCTGTTGCATTTGGGGAATGCGCTCGATCGAATTACCCGTGCAGAAGACACAAGGAGAAGCGGCACCGAGATATGGAACGATTCGTCGATCGTGGACGCTAAGGCGCGCCTGGCGTGGCCCGCCTACCCAGCTTTTCCCCGTGCAGCGATTCTCTCAACCCCTGATGATCGATGCTACAGTTGGTCATCGACCGCATCGGCGGGTAAGTCCGTTCGGCGACGGGGGCGCGGGGCATCTCGAATCTCGACCTCAGGTCTCGGATTGCAGGGGCAGACCGCTCCGTGGCCGTGCCCTTGACTGAGGGGTAGGTTTGTTGTTATTCTGCCTTTGTTGGTTAGCACGGGAGAATCTGCCTGGAACGAGCTGCGCTTGCAGAAAATGGCTGTAGCAGGTCAAGCATGTGTAGCTTTGAAGACTGGGCAAGCATGCACCTACGGGAAACATGCTCAAGAGTGATATTCGTTCACCCGAGAAGAGGTAGTCCTTCTTTCCCATCTCGACTTCTCAATTCCTCATCTTCTGTTCTCTCTAATTCACATCTCTCGTCTCCCACTTCCTTAATTCATTAACGATAGGGTTACTGTTGGGAGGGCACCACAAGAGGACAAACAGAGTGGACTACATCTGATATACCAGTTCTGCCATGGTCATCGGCGACACGCTCCAGGATTCGATCTTCCCAGAGTCTGAAGATGCCACATAAGATATTCAAACTACTAGCTGCTAACGAGAACCAGAAATATACGATTGATAGATAGCAACGAACGAACGACATTCCCATCCCCTTCTTCCTCTCACACAGGACCACATCAGTACAGCGGAGACACATAAACTCCCATGCCAAATGGTGTTCGTGCCTAACACCAGCGACCTGAATTGCTTCGAAATGGATAATAGATCTAGACCTGAGACCAATGGATCTGGATACACTTCGGGGGTCTGAATACACTTCTGGGGTCTGAATACGCTTCCAAGTGGAATAACAGATCTGGCGAACAAGGGCCCGAAATGACATGGTCAAACCCTGCAGACGGCAGATCACCGCCTTCATCGAGGTTACACCGCAGGCGTAAAATCACTGGGGCCATGCGTGAATTAAGGGGACTCTGATATCGCTTACGGGGCTGATGCTATGTGGAAAATCAAATGAGACCCATAAGGCCCAGAGGACAGAGGAGGAAGTTTACACCTTGACACCGACAGAATCCACCCGTGGCAGTCAAGCGGCATGGCTGTCGGACAGCGTTGATGTTCTGTCAAGTGAGAGGGTGCTGAGGTGCACATATTCCGACCCAGCCCTATTGTCCAGATATTTCCATCTGGCTTAAGGAATCTCAAGGCTACGCGGCACATAAGCTGTATGCCCCTGTTGGTACGAGATATCTGCTGGCGCTGATGAGAGCATCCTGTGCAAGACCCCCATGCCATGGAACGCCTCTCGCATGTTTACATGCTGGCACGCACAACACCATATAGCCCAACTTGATTAAAGTTTTATACTATATGGCCTCAAACCTTCCTTGGAAGTCTAACATGGGTGTCATCGGCACATCTGTGACGATCTGGAATGATATATGAGGTGTCTCTCCAGTCCTGGATGACCTTCCACTTCATACACGTGAGAGTGAGACAGTATCGGGCAGAAATCGGGCATCACGAAGACACACCATCACATCCCACTTTGCTCACATCACCTTCGCCGCGCGCCGGCGAGCTTGCGATGTAGGGTAAACCGCATCCAGTAGAATCCCACATGTCTTCTTCCGATCGCGACATCGAGAAAATGCGACAACATGCTAGCTGAAGCCGAATTGTCCCCGAGGCGCCCAACGCGTACGATAATGCCAATCTTTCGCAAAACATGGTCTCAAAGTCCGGCGAAGGCGCGACCTCGAACATGCCCTTACTGCAAACGCAGCTTCAATGGTGGCGTCAACCGGCCGACAATCTCGGCATGCACATCCTTCAACCCCTGTAAGACATGTAAGTCCTCCGCGTGCAGTGCCCCCTCTCCTTCTCCTCCTTCTTCCGCCGCCAGCTCAGCCGGGAAAGGCTTCCAAGGCCGCTCGTCGGCCTTGCACTTATCCCACCCGGCAATCCGTCCGTCAGCAGCAACCGCAGCCGGCGGCGGCACGATGCCCTTGTGCAGATACGCCCTCATCTTCTGGATCGCGCAGATCGAAGTCGCGGCGAGGGTGCAGTGCCCCTCGGCCTCGAGCTCAAAGACGCCGGCGCCGACGAATTTCCGGGACGCGGCGACGGCCTGGGCTAGCGGCGTGACGGGGTCGTGGGTGTTTCCGACAAAGAGGATCGGGAACGAGGTGTTGACGGGGTCGGGGGATTCGAGGTTCACGTCCCAGCCCGGGGAGGGGAATTTGGCTTGGATGTCCCAGCCTTCGCAGTGCATCATGAGAGGGAAGAACTTGAGGCCGAAGGGAGTCAGCTGATCATATACAATTCTTGGTAAGACTGGCTGATGGGACTTACGACGTCAGCGAAAGAGGTGACCTTGGATACCTTGTCAAAGACTTGCTCCAGAGTCTCATTACGCTGGTAGAGAGGCCCGTCAGCAGATGTTCTTCCTGGCCCATGCTTCATATTTGCCCTCACCTTGTACCTCCGGTCACTGCATCCAATCGCCTTGGGGCTCTCCTCGGGATAAATGACCATCTTGAGATCCGCGTCACAGGTGAAGCCGAAATCAGGCGCAACCACCACATCGGAGAGGTCATCGCCCACATGCAGACGGTTCAGCAGAACAGCCAATAAGGGAAAGACCTTGGTGGGAGAGTATAGCGAGGTGAAGAGCAGCTTCCGTATGTCGGCCTCCAGTAGCACGATGGGCATATTTCCCGCGCGGGAGACGACGATGAGTGGATCAGCCCGGAGCTTGGCCATTGTCTGCTCGTATCGTTTCTTGATTTGCGCTGAGCTGCCGTCGCCTAGACGGTACAGGGCACATGCGTCCCTGGCGAGGTGGCAGTAGTAGAAGAACCTTTCTAGGACTGCATCGGCGTCTCGCATGGCTGAGATCCACGTCTAACACACTTTTTTTAGCATCCAAGTGACCTGGACAACGATGATATATCACGGATACGAACTCACAGGTATATCGTACTCCTTGGCATCAACGACGCCATCCAGAATGAGTCGCCCGACCGCATCAGCTGTTTAACACAAATAAGATCAGCCCTTACTATCTTACATGAAGGACATTGGGCTGCCACGTACGATACATGGCCGCAAAGGTTTGTCCTAGGAATGTGCCATAGCTGAACCCCCAGTAGACTAGTTTCCCCTTTGTCGAAGGAGGAGCAGCTTCGCTGGGTGACAACATGCCGGCACTGAGTGGCGTGGTGTCGAACCCGTTGTCCTCAAGCCAGGCATCGTGTGCGCCGATGATGCTTTTCATATCTGCCGCTACATTAGGCGTAGCCATGTATTCGAATCCGCCCTCCTCGACATCCTTCTGGGAGCACAGCTTGGACAACGCCCTGGCACGCTGTGCAAGCTGGTCCAAGGCGCCGGACGTGGCATTTGGCAGACCGATGTCGTGAGCCATTGCCAGCCAGGTCAGTCTGTGCATATAAGCAAGGTTATTAGCCGCGGCTGAGGGTTGCTCGCCGGGCTTGGTGTCGACAAAGCAGTCAGCCCGTGGGGTCGTGGCGCCAATGCCGCGGGGATCGAAGCCGATGATGTCGACGCTGCCTCCGGCGGCGGCCTGGATAGTGGGGCCGAACGGCGGGAAGGTGAAAGTGGTGCCTGGCCCGCCGGGTCCGCCCGGGTTGAGGAGAAGCGGGGACTCGGAGAAACGCCCCGTCTCTAGGCCGTGGCCGAGAGCGGGGAGGAGAACCATAGCGACATGGACCTTGGGGTTATCGGCAGACTGAGTCAAGGGCCGTTGGTAATCCATCGGCACGGTCAATCGGGCGCACATGTAGCCACGGCCCAGGGGAAACATGCCGGGTAGCTCGCATCGCACCCAGAGGAGCTTCTCGCTCGTGGGTATGTCATCCCAATCGGTGAAGACTGGGAAGGGGCCTTGTTCTGGATGAAGGATGAAATTGCTGCCATGGAACCATTCACTGAGTTTCCACGACCAGAGCACAAATAGAACGACAGCGAGGACGAGAGGCCTCCTCCAAGATTCCGCCTGCCGTGAGTGAACGGGCCGATAGAACGTGTTCGACTCAGCGAAGCTTTTCGCCGACATGATCGAGAAAACGAAAGTGGCAAAGAGGTGTCGAACAAGAGTCAGACGATAAATGGACCGGTGGTGCTATAGCTATGGATGGGCAAGGTAAGGTAAGGTAGGAAGAGAGAGAGGCGAGAAGATGCCCCAACGACTACGTCGGTGATGAGTTGACGTTTGGCTCGCACTGATGCCTGTCAGCAGCAGGATTCTGTACGCAGTACGGATACTCCGTAGGCGACATACTCTAAGACGCGGCTACTGCACCATCAGCGCGGCACGCCGCACGACAGTTTGGCGCTGGCCAGTCACAATTTGGGATCGGCGAATCATCCTTTTCCGTCGACCTCTTGGCACGGCGATCCGATGATTTCAGCAACTTGTCGAGTAATTGAGATGCAGTAAATGCAATGCATGCATGAGGGAAATTTCCCCTGATTATCTTCAAGTGAAGTCTCGGTGACTGCATGGTGAGTGTAGGTAAGAACTTGGTTGAGGAAGGGGACGGACACTAGTCCGGACGATGAGAGACGTTTGAGGCGAAATTTGCGGTGCCAAGAGCCCCCCCCGAAGCAGCGTCTGGACCGGCTGTAGTAATATTCCGTCCACGATATAGGATACCTGCGGCAGCGCTACCAGAGACAGCTCGTGGATGGTGGAAACGCGGAGACGAGTCAAGACATTGTATTGGTGAATTGGTCCAGGGCTCCAGGACAATCAAAAGGTGTCCGCCCCTTCCTCCCGCGTTTTCCAGACCGGCTAGACCAACTGGCGCGTCTGAGGGTTGGCCTTGGCGTGTACGATAAGCGACGAGCAAGTGCCAGGGAGATATCCCGCGATGTTTCGCTGTTTTGGGTGCGTTTGGGGACGGAGCCCACAGCACAGCTTGGGTTCGACCATCCGCTCAGCCCAGCCACCAAACAAAAAAGAGATCCAGAGGGCGGCGGATAATATGTCCATCTTGGAAAAACCTTGCGGTAATTACCCCGTACATCGTACAGGCGAGTTCCTGAGACAATGACATTTGATGCTGCTTAGAAGGCCCTTTAGAAGAGTCCCTTTTTTAGAAGCCAGCCACAACGTTCGCAATAGGTTCCGAGTTGCTGGCTGGCCTAGGTAGTCCGAACGCATGAATGGAGCACCGATAGAAACCAGTTCGTCTAAGAGTTCATTCAGATAGCGGTCGAGGTTCGCGAACGTCTCAGATCATCCGCGAGAGCTATTTTCGGATTGTCTGGAGGATATGCGACGAATGAGGCAAATGTGCGCGGCCTGGAATTGTTGCTGGTCTCTCATAGGAGATCACCGCGGCTGCCGGTGCTGTCACAATCGCTCGAGTTGCATTCTAGTGCCGTTTGACCGGCTTGGCCGACTGTGAGCACCGAGATTTGAGTCCAAGGGGCTTGGATGACAGAAAGCTTGAGGCAGTGACGGTGCATCCGTCTGAAGAGGTAAGCGTGTTTTGGTGTGTAGGGCCTTGCGCAACCGGGGCGGGCGACGAATATCGGCAAAGACGAGGAGTGTAACCCTTGGGAACATCCGCCGTTGTGATTCCTGACCAACGGGCCTGGGGTCCATGTAGAACGGGGGAGTTCGTTCTCGCTGGAGAGACAAACCCATGCCATCATGGCTCCTCTTCCTCTGTCGGCACTTGGAAGAGGCAACATTTGTCGACGACCAACGTTGCAGGTGGATGGGATCGTAGGGTGCATGGACGCCTTCAGGGGGTAGACTACGACTCTGGACGAGAGCCAAGATGGAATAGTCAAGTAAGCTTGTGTTGACCAGGTCTCGATTCTCGAAACAAACAATTCCGGTGCAGAATGGGCGGCCATTGCCATCTAGGCCAGGCTGCCCGGAGTTTTGGCCCCCAGACTCAAGAGATTTAGAGTCAGTCTGTTCGTAAAGGGTGGACGAAATGACAACACTTGGACGCAGCCAAGAGCGACGATGGATGGTCTTGGTAAACTCTTGTCTTTTGAGCATCGGCTTGCGGACCCAATGGCGAAGAGAGACTTGCTCCCCAGAAAATGAAGCTGCAACATTGGGAATGGGGCCGCTGGAGAGTTGCTTATGCGGAAGGACTCGCGCTGCCCAAGACGTGCCACAAGTGGTTGACAGGCTGCTTTCCAAGACTTTAGACTCCCAAGACCAGCCATTCCGCGCCGTCTCTTCCGGACGAAGCTTTATTCTTCCTTCCCTCCACACTCGAAGCCGGACCACATGGCGGAAAGGAGATGACAGTTGATCACAGACGGCGCACTAAGATGGCGACAGCTGCCGCACAGTAGCCTTTCGGCTGGTTAACCTAATGCCAAGTCAAAGATTAGCTGCATCGAATCAAGAATGAATGGATGTCACAAATTTTCCAGGCTGATGAGAAATCCAGCCGAATGTTAGAACCTTCCATACCTTAGCTTCTGTGAGGTACGTTCGTAGGTTGGATGCAGATTTGATGTAAGGTACAGAGCAAAAAGGGCACGCACGGGATGCGCTTGGTGAGAAACCTGAGGTGAGCGATGCAGGTAGACGTGACAGGCAGGAGCCGGCCAGCAGAGCTTAGGCGTTTGGCGAGGCAGGAAGAAAACCTGTCAGAGTCTCTATTTGCAGCCTGGAAACCTCGCCCTGTCCTTGAGGTAAGCGCGAACTCTTTCCTTCCACACCCAACAAAGTCTTTGCAACGGTCATACCATACACACAATGAGGCGCCACACAGACAGCAATTCTGATTACGGGCAACGACAACGATTCGACTTCCGGCTCATTGGCTTTGCAGAATCTGAATGCCTTCAGGCTCTCCCCCGGTTCGTTTGCCTTCTTCTCGCCGGAAACCAGGCGGGTCAGGCACGTGCATGTTCGCTTCGAACTGGGCATATCCTGCAGGCTTCAACCCACCGGTCTGCATTGAACACTCGCGAACATGGTGTGTCACGGGGCAAGCCGCAAACCGCCCATACGGAGTACACATTACACAAGAACCGCAAAACAGACTCTTTCCCGTTCAAGGTTAGGGAAAATAGGGGCTTGGTCTGATGTCCCCGGCTTCCAATGCTAATTTTGGCTACAAAACGGAGCCCGAGCAAACAACAATGTACAGACGACCACCATCAGCGGAATCCTTACGACGGCGACTATCACGCAACTCCGAAGTCTCAGACACGGGCAGAAGTATGGGAGAGTGTCGCACCAGACCAGAAAATCCAGCACTCGACACTGAACACTCCAACGGTACCACACTGCACTCACAGTCAATCGGCCTCAGACTCCCCATGCTCGGTCGAACTCGTCTGTCCTCTCTACATTGCATCCCAGTCTCCATCCATCCACCCGGCCCAAGACTCTGTCACGGAATGCAGTTGGACCCTTTTTTTCGCTTTGTACCGCACCACGGGGTTCTTGGGGCTCCTCCTGACACTTGACAATTGGCAAACCATCGGGGCACGACTGTCATGCGTTTGCCCCTCTGCCCACCACTAGACGTCTTTCCATCATCCGCAACCTGGAGTTGAGGAAACATTCGCCAGGGACACCATCCCGGCAATTGGGTAGAGAAGGCGGGCCGAACAGCGCTGTGCACGACTCGCTAGAGAAAACAGCCCGATTCACTCTTTCCTCAGTCTTTAGCTTTAGCGGCTCTGCGTCCTGAGTATGCGTCTCTCACCTGTGCGGCGTGCCGCGGACCAAGAGGTTACACGGCCGGGACGTGGCTGATTGCCCTTGGCCACTTGGCGGGCTTGTAGACTCCATCCGCCGCGGCACCCGACGACGCCAATACCGGGGAGATCTCTTGTGCTTCTTGGCCGTTGCATCGATGCTCGATAGTCTGCCCTGCTGAGGGGGGCAGCAGGTAGTAAAGATGGTACCAGACGGAAGACGACACCGGCCATACGGCGACCCGCCAAGTGCCAAGAGAACAATCCGCCCCTTGGCACAACCATGAAGGTATGCTTAGATGCTACGCGGGATTCTGAGCCCTCTGAATTGTTCCTTTCGAAATCCACCAACACCGAGTATCGTCCAGGCTGCTGCTCACCCGCCACCTTCGTCCCATCCACCCAAGCAGAAATCAACGGAGAGACGCAGAGAAATGGGCAGTATCGTTGCGGTGCACGTCCCAGCTACCATCGCAGGAGTGCTTGGCAAAGTCTCATGAGCGACTGACCCACTCTGCAAATACTGCGTCCCTTGACCATCTGCCAGAGAGTCGAGTCGGATCTGTCTACGCGTCCCGGGGGGTCACCCATGCCCTCCCATGCCCTGGCAACATCAGAGCGTGGATCTCTGGGCCAAAATTGGCATCCTACCTGACATCTCTCGGCCATCGCATAGAGGCACGGCGACGATGCCAAGACCTCCTAGTCAGGTCTCTCCGTCAAGCTTGGTCTCGAATCGCCCTCCTCTTGCACACTCGACCGCGGCTGGCCTCCCAGATGGATATCCCAAACCGACGTGCCCAATTGGCTCGCTGCCTGTCTCTGGTGTCACCTGCGTTTCATGCCTCGACTGCGTCGCTGACTGCTTGGACCTCACGCTGAACAATATCCAGTCCCGCTGGGCGGATTGTCTACAATGTACCATCGCTAGCCTACTCGTCCCTCGGCCATCCCTTGGCGCTATTCGGAGCTTTCCAGCTGGGCAATCCCACCTCGACCACGACGACCACCCCCCTGCCTGCGCCTCCGTACCGACTCGATCAAGAGCCTACCCCAGACGGTAGCCCCCTCTGCTAATGTCTGAGGGCCCACGACCGACTTGAGGCTTTCGACGGGACTCTATCTCTTGGCATCTTGGCGGCTGTGTCTCAAGCATGTGGCTAGTCTCCAGTCTCAACTCATCCATCTTGGCTCGTGGGGAAATATATGAAAGCTAAATTCTCGTGCTTTTTTTCAGATCTTTCCTTCTATTTCTTCTTTAGCTGTGCTCGACTGGTATCCTGTCTCTTCTCGGTTTTCTTCTCTCTCTTCTTCAAGACTTTTAAAAGCTATCTTCAATTCTTCCGCTGGTCGTGTCCTTATTATACAACTCTACGCCTATTACTTAGTGTCACCGTCTCGCAGACCACACCCTTCGCCTCTTCCAAGAGCCGTTCTACCCGAATCACACCAAGACATACCGACTACCCGAACAGATCGACAAGATGGTCAACCGCTACATCTTCGCCGTTGCCGGCCTGGCCGCTCAGCTCAACGCTCTGCCCTTGAACATCAACTTGGGCGCTTATTCACCTGCCTTGGTGGTGGGTGATGGTGAAATTTCATTTGGCGGTAGAAACGACGTCTCCCAGTTGATGAATGTACTGGAGGGCGCCGCAGTTAATGCTGCTCAAGGTGCTGCGAATGCTCCGGCCGCCGCCCCTGCCGCTCCCGCGGCACCTGCTACCCCGGCCGCCCCTCAGCAGCCTGCTCAGCAAGCCGCTGCTTCAGTCGGAGGTGCTACGCCGGTGACTGCTTCGTCCGCGGACAACCAGATCAACGAGGTTAGTGGAATCTTCTAGCTTTCGGGCGGCTCATGTCTGTGTGTACGGGACACACACGGACGCTAGTACTATCAGACCAATATCAGCTAACATATTACCTCTCCAACTAGGCCCAAGCCATTGCAGCCCTCCAAGGAATGGGCAAGGAGATCGCTCCCCGTGTACAGCTTACCAAAGCCCGTCCCGCCGAGAAGCGTGATCTCTCCGGTTTCGATCGCGCTCTGAAGTACGCCGAGGCTGCCCTCACTAAGGGCCCCAAGGTCCAGCTTGGCACTGGCCAGGAGGGCTCTGGTGTCGGCATGATCGTCGACAACAACCAGCAAGCAGCAGCTCGTCCTGGAACCGGAGGCGCCGCGGAGGCCGCACCCGCTACCCCCGCCGAACCCCGTCCTGCCGGCGCTATTGTTGCTCAGCAGAAGGTCAAGGCCCGCTCCGACGAGGCCCAGCAGCCCCCTCGCCGCCGTGCCAAAGTCACCACCATGTACGTTCGCTCCGGCGTTCCTGCTGGTAAGTAACAAATAAGTCTTGGAACAATCGAGGCACACGCGGCTAATCAATACGGAATAGGCGTCGAGATGACCCCTGAGAAGCTCGTTGCCCGCGATCCTTCCGCCCCCGTTTCCCAAGTCGTCCCCTCCACCAACAACAACGTTGTCAAGCGCGCAGTTGAGGAGCTTAACTCACGAGGCGTCAGCGGCGGCGCCATTGACACCGTCAACCTGAATGTCAGCGGTGAGGGCGTCACCATGACCTTTGTCGAGACTCAGGCCGACGATGTGGAGGACGAGCAGTAGATTGCTCTTCCCGCGTGTGTAATCCTGGAAACCCAAAAAAGAGCTTATTCAACCAAACCCCCAAAATTGAGAACGTTGCCACGATTTGTTTCTTTTCCTCCTTGCCTCATTCAAAAATTTACGATTCCCGGCCTCAGCCCTAATCCCTCGTCGAGATCCTTCCGCTACTCTTCACTCACCTGAGTAATCGATTCACTATACACAAACGGCTCACGCGTACACACAATGGGTCTCGGCTTGCCTTCGCTTTTTACGGGCCTCAAAACCCCCTTGTCTTTTATTTTTACGCCATGATATCAAACATTTTGGGAAAGGTGGTGTGGGTGTTCGTTCTAGACAAATCACTAGCATTCGGCGTGTACAATTCTCACTGATAGTTGGAAATCGCCTGCTTATTTCTCCTTATTGGCTGTGGCGGTCAGCGGCGGCGGCGTATCGAGTGGTTGTGTATCTGAACCTTTTTTTTCTTTCTTGCTCTTCTCTATCTCAAAAAAATACCTCTTTGCCATCTACCCAAACATTGCCCAGCGATTATTGATAGCTCCGACTTCTGCCTGTTATGCTTTCCTTGAGAGTTCCTTTTTTTAGTGCACGTAGAAACGACCGGAAATCAAAATTGCCTGTTTCGTCTCAAGCGAAAAATCGACCAGACGTGGGCTCTGCGTGGCGGTTCCTGCATAAAAAAAAACAAGTAGGCATTAGGTGGGACCTGCAGCTCAAAGGGCAAAAAAAGCCGCCTATTGACCGCCTATGGACGTATGGCGATCAGTTCCGAGTTGTTGTGGTTGTGAGACGTTCCATTGTGTTGCCGGCGAACATGGGACCAGCGGAACGTCGCAGCATCTGTCACAAGTCCCCTCACCCTGGTAGATACTATTAGAGCCGCATACAACCCATCGGCGGTATCCATGCTGAAATCACCCAGGGGGAAAAAGACCCAATGGGAGAATTGTAGCGTTTCCTTTGTCAGCGCACGACTCAGGGGCCATCCTGGTTCTGCGGGAGGTGGGAGGAAGAAGAAGCCAAGGGAAGAAGCCAGACCCATGACCAAGGGTATCCGCGGGTGCGACCGAGCGGGAAATAGATGCGCTGCGAAAGCCCGCGGGCGGCCTATTCGTGGGTGAGGGTAAGGCCTTAGTAAGGTGCCCTGCTCTAGGAGTCGTAGAGCCAGCGAGGTTGGGCGGGTGACGCCGGTCGGTGTTTTAGCTTGCTGCGTTTGTTTTGTCGGGTTTGGCGTGGATTGCCCTGGGTTTGCGGTTTTTTTCTTCGTGTCTTGGGGGGAGGAAACACCTTGACATACGCAGAGATGAGTCTGTCTACCCATCGTCCGGGTGATGTTGTCTGCTTCCTGCGCACAGTCTGCTTGTTGGGCTATTTCTCGTTGTAGACTTGATGGGATGGAGGAATATCGACCAACGTGGAGGAAAAATTCGTAGATGGCAAGCACGAAAACGACATCCGGAGCCCGCCTCGAAGCCAGTTGGACAAACGAATTGCTACTAAGACGGCTGTGTTGCTACGATTTCTCGGAGCTCATCCTCTCTTCCTCGCAACTCACATCGCACCCAGGCTAGGCTGGAAGACGTAGTGCCAAGCTTAAAGGCAAAGCTTAGTTGCGTTCGTGAACCTAGTCGATCTTCGTTCTCGGAGGCCAAGTGGCCACCCTCCCGAAGACGGGATGCTCTCACCTCTGAAAGACTCAAAAAGAGGTTCTCTCGAGGACGTGAACCATCTCCGGGGCTTGGCGTTTGGATTTATAGTCCTCCGTAAGGCAGGATTGTGGTTGCAGTGAGTGTGCTTTCTTCCTGGGCTGGCCACGCGGCAGGTGACAAAAGATTTGAAATGTGCCAAAGTGCCCATCCTCTTCGTCTGCGTGTGACCATGTGAGTTCCTGATTGTGGTGACAGCTTGCCGGCTGATAGTCGTTCGGAAAGTTGCTATCCGAAGCCAAGCCTTTTGACTCTGCGTGTCGTGGAACTTTTCTGGACTTTTAATCGTTGGTCGCTGATTCCCTGGACGAATGGATCTATTTCTCCCATTCTTTGTATTCCTTTTGCTTTTGGCGCGTATTCCACCCTAGCTTGCCGCTGATACTGTTGACCCAATCTTCGCTGCGCCGACCCTGAGCCTGGACGCTGGCAAAGGGATAACGGCTAGCGCTGATCGTCACGTAGTCTCCTGGAAATAGCTCAACGCGCTCGCGACCGTCGAAGCTGGCCCACGAGTTGGTCCTCGCGTCGTAGGGCACGCCCACACGAAGAACAATGGTATCGGGTAGGATGATGGGACGGAACGAGAGCGTGTGTGCGCAGATGGCAGTGACGAGCATGACGGGGTTTTCCGGGTGGCAGAGTGAACCGCCGGCCGCCAGGTTGTAGGCGGTGGAGCCCGTTGGGGTCGAAACGCAAATGCCGTCTGCCAAGACGGAGGTGAAGTGTTCGTCGTCACCGAAGATTTCAGTGTACGACATTGCTATTGGGGTGGCATGATCAGTAATCTAGAGTTCGCTCAGCAGGGAAGCATGATCGAGGACTTACTTGGATTTGGACCACGGTCGACGACAATCTCGTTCAATATCTCAAAAGTTCCGTCTGGTTTGTGGGTGTGTTCATCTTCCCTCTCCTCGCCCACTAGCTCTTCCACGAGGTCAAGCTTTCGCCCGTCGTCGTCTTGGCTCGAGCTGCTCTCTTCACCGTCCACCAGCTGTTTTCTCGTCTGGCTCCTCATGATAGTTCCCTCAAACCGCAACCGCAAGCTGACTGTAACGCCTTTATTGAAGGCATTCTCGAGGATGCTTTGGTAGTCCTCAAAATCGAATTTCGTCAGGAAACCCAAACTGCCGAGGGAGAAGCTCAGCACCGGCGGGACAATGCGCTGGAAAAGCCAGCTGGCGTAGAGTACGGTACCGTCGCCACCCAATGAAATAACAAAGTCGAACATGTGCGGCCGGTTCCGACACATGTCTTCATTCCAGTACCGAAGACGCTTCGATATGCCTTCCTCGCTTGTCCCAGGTTTCGATGCTCCTGACTCGGCAACGTCTTTCTTGAGCTCTTCAACTATTCCCGTCGCATTGAACTTTTTGTTGTCCTTGAACTTTTCTTCCACGTAGACTGTATACACAACATCCCGCTCATGTGACAGGAGCCATTTGGTCAGTTCCCGTGTGCGCGCAATCAGATCCGCATCGTGGATCTTGGTCAGGAGAAATATCGTCTTTACGCGGAATCTGATGCGCATACTGCTGAGCCGTCTGCTAAGCTCTCGGACTCCCCAAGCCATTTCACTAAGTTGCTTCTTGGTGAGTAGTCGGCTATGCAGCTCATCGTCGTCGTCAGAATGGGTGAGGTCGATCTGCGAAGCAGACTTGGTAATCTCGGATCGCCAGGACTTTTCGTCGGCCTGGCCAACGTCACTGCCTTCGGGGCTATCGGCAGCCAGAATGGACGCTCTTTGCTTAGCGAGCCGTCCCTTAGGCTCAACAGTCTTCGACATGCCCGATTCCCCAGATACATCACAGGCACCGACATGTCGATGAGAGTTCTCATAGGTGGGATGACCGTGGTGGTAGTTGTCCGTGGTGGCTTTCGAGGCGCTTGATACCGAATTCGACCGAGAACCCTGGTTGCTGGCGGAGGCTACCGCGTTTCGAGCTTTTCTCTGGCTTTCGAGGAACTGGTGTACGATGCACTCAGTTCTCTGGCTAGGGTGTCGCGGCAAAGGTCTGGAAGACTCGGACGTGACTAGAGAGCTTTTGCGCCGGTAAGGGTTTCCAGGATCAAAAGTGACCTATGATAGTCTTAATACAAGGCATGCTGTTTGGTATGATGCTTTCAAATCCACATACCTCGACAGCCTTTTGGTAGTCATCGTCACTTCCGCTTGAATGCGCATCCTCCTCTTTCTCAAAGCCAACACGCTTCTCCGTCTCGTCGTTGGTAGTCTCGGCACCCATTTCCCGCAGCAAGAGCGTCGCAATGACGAAGAAGGCGAAACAAGTTGGCAAAGTCGCGACGATGGCGGGGTAGCTTGATCGCGGTTGGTACTTGTAGACGACTTCGATGCGGTCTCACAGCATTAGCAGCGGATTGAAAAAGGAAGTGGTTTCGAGAGCGTGAAAAGCAGGCTCAATCGTCGGCAAACTAAAGGTTTATTTCGACCGCGTGCGCAAAGAGAAAGTTACCAAGTGGCTGTCTCTCTCTCTCTTTGCGTCGCACAGTGCCCATATGCAGTGGCAATGAGGCGATTGGGCAAGCAGAGAGTGTTCGCGATTGTAACCCCGAGGCACGTTCCCCGAAAGTATGAAAGAACAGATACTAGGATCCAGGTTGCTGCCGATGCCGAGGCTCACACAATGAATGAACAAAGGTTTTGTTCTAAAGAGCGTGACTCGGAGAAGTGATAGGCAAAATCTATCCAAGGAAACTAAAGAGGTAGAAGAGGTTGCAGAGTGAGAGCTGCCCACCTCAGCTTCAACGGGTGGAAGCTTCTTCAATCAGCGGGGCCAAGGTGTTAGTGATGATTGCAGCATTGTCCGTAGCCATTAGGGTGCTGGTTCGCCCGCAGTGGGCCGAGCTGACCAACATGGAAGTCAGTTTCCTCCCTGCGGGCAGGATTAGTGAGGTGGGGGGCCTATCTGTCCATGGCTTGTGCTGCCGAAGAACCGGGGCGGTAAGGGGACAAGTCGCTGACGTCGTTCCTGTTTTAGGCGGTGGGACTCATACCTTAGGACTAGACTGGTTCACGGGCTGGTCAAGTAAACGCATCAAGAATTTTAGATCTTGCACTTGTCAGCTTTGCAGTTCTTCGGCACTGTACCTCTGCGATTGAACATAGTACACCAGGAAATCAAGAAAGAGGCACACGCCAGGTAGCAAAAGGGTCCAGGACCTAATACCAGCCGAGTTGACCTTGCGGACGTCCGCATGACCATCTATTTACTCTTGGGGGAAAGTCTGCGCAGTACGGATCTAAAGCTAGACACCCATTGGGTTGCTGACTGCTGATTAACATCGGGTGATGCTGCTCGCGTACTATCTAACATGAGACGATCACTCCATCACCTTGGCCGCCTCGGATGAGTTTGTTTTCCCGTGCAATGCAATGTGAGCGAGAGGCATCGCCAGGCACATGTCACTCCTCCACTTCCTGTTCGAGTGAGGAATGCCCTATCCCAAGTACTCCGTTTGGTATGTATTTACTGGAAAGTCCGGACGATAAGAGGGGATCACCTACCTAAGGTAAGGTAAGGTACCTTAGGTAGGTAGTTTTCTACGTAAGGTACCAGGGTAGATAAGACATGCGATAATCGATAAGCGATAAGGAGCTGGGTCGTCCATTGAGGTTCACCCCGCCAAACCACCAAGAACCAGCTGTTTAACCAATCACAAGCTGCAGCGCAAACAGCATCCCTCCTGATCGCTGCATCTTCACCGCGACCACGTCAGAATGCTTTCGCGCTGAGCAACCGAAACTTCACCCGCAACACGCTTCGACACATTATTGACGCGAGGTGTTCCTTCTTCGTTCCATAAATCTCCCCGGATGAAGCACACTCGACTGCTCCTTGTCTACCAACAACCTCTTAGAGCATGATACACCCATCGACGCACCTCCACTTCCTCACAGGATGAACTCTCTGTGGCCCTCGCGGCCTGCCAACGATGGCGCCGCCGCCGAAAACGAACCTCCACCGACTGGCGATGTTGTAGATGCCGTGATAGCGGATGCTGTTGTCGCAGACGTTGGTCCCGATACAAGCAACCCACCTCCTCCTCCTCCACCACGACCGTCCTTGCAGAGAAACTCATCTGCACCCTCTCCAGCTCCGGCCCCAGTTCCGATACCCCCGGCCCCAATGCCTCCTGCGCCCGAACCTCAGCAGCCTACCGACTCGCTATCATTGTTGCAGCTTCGTAAAATCGTTGCCGAGTTCAGTCGTGGCGAGCCTGTCGCCTACGATTTCGTCTACAATGACATGGGTGTCCACGACGAGGAGGTTGACGAATGGTTTGTTTATCAATTTTGGCAATGGGTGCGATTAAACGCTGCTCAGCGAGCTTTCGAATGGCAGTGGCAGCACGATTACGATATACAGTCAACTTGGGAAGAGACGGACCACCAGACAAAGGCCAAGTTCACGCTAGATGCCCTAGATGGTCTTCAAGTCAAGGACCCGACACAACGTTCTGCGCATATTGGCAAAGTTCTGTACCTAGTGCTAGGTCGATGGGGCGATACGTCGACGCCTGACACTGTAGGTGACAGGAGGTCGGCTGCCAGTGCGACACAATTGGAGGCTATCAGATCAAGCATCAGCTTCTTAACCTCTTTGGACGGCATTAACACTGTTTGGTCGGCTCTGCAAAGTTGCTTTGATGTATTTTGGTGAGTACTCCGGGCAATCTGTCTTACAATGTAAGTTAA